TATTTAAAGTAAGAAAAACCTAATACAAGCCTAATTGAGCAAGGAAACAAATAAGGTAAAAACAAACCCTAAAAAGAACAGAAAATTCAGCCACAAACTCTCTTTCTTCAAGCACAAGTAAACGGCCTTTTAGCACAGCAAACTGCTAGAAACACAGTTTTCGTACTAACTTTGTGCCTTTCGTTCGAGGCCTTCCAGAACTCCAATCCTTCATCCAATTCCTTCCCTTTCTATACAAACATACCTAGGCTTCATAAAACAGTTTTCTAGCAGTTTTTAGCTTTCCAGATAGCATCTTTGGACGTCTGGAAAATGACCTTATGGACGTCTTCTTGAGCTACCAAGCATACCATCGTGTAGATAATCTTATTATCTTCAAAACAAGCTATCAAACGCAAATTTTCATTGAGGCAATTGTGAGCAGCCTAGTTATTCTGCTAACTGCATAAGTTGTTAGTATATACTAACTAATATCCAAAATGTATGAACTAGTATCCAAGTCTGCCGATTTTACTAAAGTATCTAGATAGCACAGATTAGTATTCAAAACATCACAAACTAGTATCCAGATAATAGATACCAACTAATATCCACAATCAACCAACTAGTATTTAATATTGATACTCTTATATGTTATCTGGATATTCTTATGTGTTATCTAGATACTAATTATGTGATGTATGGAAACTATTCTGTGTTGTCTAGATATTAGTTTGTGAATTTGGGATAATAGTTGATTCATGGTGGATATCAATGTAGTCAAAAGCTAGCTTTAAATCCTAAAAGCCTACACTTTTACGCTTTGGAACCCCCAAATATTGTAGCTTTTGTTCAAAAAGTCTTTTGCATCAAAAGCCCAAGTAAAAGCCCTCAATCCCAGTAAAAGCCTTAGAAGCTAGCTTTTGACCACTTCTCAACGCTTTTGATATTCGAGTATGAGGATCATATTTGGTCGTGTTTGGTTCAATTTTTTGGACAAAAGAGAAAAATGATGCTGTCTTATTTGTTTTCTAGTCAGGTTATCCTTTCAATCTTTGCTTTTATGAATTTAGCATCCCTAATTCACCGCCACTTTTCCACATTCTCATATTTTCTCGGCCTCCAAAACCACATGCCACATCCAAAGTCCTGCCTCCAACTCTTTTCCCATAGTTTCCCGCAACGTGCATCCAACTTCCTCTTACTAGGCTCCCACTGCGACAATAACTTGGACATCTTCATCCGATGCATCAACCCTCCCCATCCCTATAACTCCTATCCCACCTCTATGACTATGTTGTCGTCAAAGCTCATCTCCTTTAGCCTCACATTTCGCCACTTTCACTTATTAGTGGAGCTTGTCTATAGCCCTTCTAGCTTCATCATTTGTTATTGGTATCCTTTCTCATATGTTTATAGAAAGCAATAGGAAGGTGGTGAATTCTTGTTTAAAGGCATATTAATTTTGTTTAAGTTTATGAGAGTAATATGTTAAATGAGCTAGTTCATCTCTATATTCATATTTTGCATAATACAAGTTATTGTTACAATATTTATATTAAAATTATATGATGTGCAAAAGCTTACGCTTTCAAGCTTCGCTTTTGCGCTTCCGCTTTTACCCATCATTTCGCTTTTACCTAGAATCTAGACTTTGACTGCATTGGTGGATATTAGTTAGCAAACCTTGAATACTAGTATGTGTTCTCTAGATATTTTAGTACTTGGATACTAGTTCATGTATTTTGGATATCAGTTAGTATCTTCTAACGAATCTTCAAGTTAGCATATTAACTTTCCCCATTGTGAGAACCAAGCCTCCAAAGTAGGCCACCTGAAACAGTTAAAATACTTAACCAAATTCTGCTCCTTTTCTTGCCAATTGAGATTTCTTCTTCATCAAGTAATTTTGGCTCGTTGATTAACCGATTTGGAATCATATCAGGCTCCCCCTCTTAAAAAGCTTTGACCTTAAACCTTGATGCTGCTTCTTGTCAAACTCATCACAAAATCCCTTCCAAATCGGGTCACGAAAATGATACCCTGAACTTGCAATTGCGAACTTCAAAACTTCGTTAGCTCGTGAATTTGCTGTTGTTTCCCACAATTCGAGCTCCAATATATTGGTGGGAATCCAAAGGACCTTTCCCTTGCAAACAATTCGCTCAATTGCACCCAAAACTTGCTGCGCAAATTTTTCAGTTTCCGGTGACAAAATCCCAGAATCCGGCGACTTTGAGTTTTTCGGCGAGACCTCCAAATTTGGGCGTTTCTCTTCTAGGCCACTCCGAGTCAATTCGTTGCTCACGTCCGACTCGTCTCGAACCTAGGAATTGATTCGAGCTAATCCCGTGTGTCAAAAGTGTGCGAATCGCCTCCAATTAGGATTCCTCTGTTTCCCGCCGTCAGGAAATTTAAAATTTTCGGAATCCGGCAACAATTTTCCAGAATCTGGCGACCAATTTCGAGATTTCGGCGACCCAATTGCACAATTAGGCGTTTTCGATTTCGGCTTCTCCGCGATAAATTGATCGATCCTAAAGCTTCCTTGGACCTCCCAGAACTTGTTTCACTCCTTCTCGATCGAATTGTGCCCAATCTCTTCAACCAATTCATAATTCTCGGCTTCATTGTTCTTCGTGTTTAGGCCCGAATTTTGTGAATTGAGCGTTTCCTCCTCGACGTGATTCGACTCCAATTGATCAGTGCTACACCTTCCTGGCGTCTCAACGAATGTGTCGTCCTCGGCCATTTGCTCTGACTCATCCCTGAGACTTCCAACCGATTCAATCTCTTTCTTCCCCTGCATCACCATCGGAAAACAGAGGTACTCCACCTAAATCAAACTCATCATTTTGACTAGAATCGAGTCGATTCCCTCAATCGAATTCACTCTTGGGGCGACGACAATCGTCGTGAATTCATTGGGCTCGCTCGACTCTTCCCCCACGTCGCTGCCCGATTCTTTCTCTTTGCTGCTCTGTCCTGCAATTGAGGAACAGAGGGCCCCGTCTCTGCCAGGAGTTTTTACTGGGTCGACGTTCCACGACCACGTTTTCTTCAACATGGCTTGTTGATACTCCTCCTGAAGTCGGTGTAGCTCCTTCATATCATCGGCAGCCGCTTCCGGAGCCAAAGGGTTCACGACGAACACTTTGTTTCGACTCCAAATTCGAAACTTCTTGCTCCGTCGACATGCAAAACAAACTTGACAATCTCTGAACCATGGCTGTCCCAAGACTATGCTGCTGGGAAGATGATAGACCACGTCACACAGAATTTGATACTCGTATCGGCCAATCGAGAATTTCACGGCCACCTGAGACACTACAATGCTGGATTTGTTTTCGTACGGTGATTGGAACACGTAGGGAGCTGGATGAGGCTGTGATTGTAATTCCAGCTTGCTCGTGACCCTGCAGGAAATCAAGTTCCTATCCCTGCCTCCATCGATGAGCACCAAACCCAACTGATCATTGAGTAATCCTCATGTGAAGATCATCGATTTTGCTAACTCTTATGCCGCCATGTTGCTCTGTTTTTGCGACTGAAATTTCGCACAAAAACAGCCTCAATCAATCCTTCTCGCCACTAGCATCATTTTGTTGCTGTTGTGATTGCATTGGTGTTGTGCAAACAGGTATACAACAACAACAGAAAAAAAAAACAAACAACGCAAACCTGTTTAGTTGATAAATCTGAGAACTCTTAAAAGTTGACAACAAAACATAGAAACACGTTTAGTTACTTCTATAACAACTAAAAACTAGAAAAGGGATATTTTCAATATCAAACAAAGTCCCACAAAATCCAACTTAGATCAATTTCAAACCACCGTTTCACCCTACTGCAACCTCCCCATTTTCTGATTTTAATTGTTGGTGCAGTGCAAAACCCTAGCCACCATTGTAAAACACAAGAATTGACATTCCTCCACCACCACCATCGCAAAGGAAAGGGGATCAGTGTTCCCTCATAGTGCGTGAACCTTGGCAGGGCATTTAATAAGGTTTTGGAGCGAAAACTTGGAATTCAGTGGAAAGAATTGTCAGTATATCTACAGATTTTTGAACAAATTGGTATAAGTTATAACCGATAACGACACAGGCAATGGCACAATATAAAGGATTTATATCAAAGACGATAAGGGTTGGCCGGAGTCAAAGAGAAGGACAGGTTGGTCGGGGTCTGTTGGACCCGAGGATTGGTAGGCGATACCAGCAAATAACGGCGACGATGCTGGACGGCGGGATAGTTGGATGCAACGAGGACTCGATGGCGGGAGAGTTGGACGGTGGCGAGAGCTGGAGAGGCAGTCGGCCGGATCGTGCTCGTCGGAGATAAGGAGAGAAGGAGGAGGGGTTGTGGATCGACGGTGGACATGACCAGGATGGACAGAAACGGGGCGGAGATTGGGGTCCAAACAAATGGATACGAAAAAATGATAAGAAATGAGCTACGGGGATTCGAATTGCGGGTGATTTTAATGAAATCACACAGGAAACCCGTGTCCAACAGATTAATAAAACAGATCCAAAGTAATGAATTGTTGTTTCTCTTATTTGGGCCTGGTTGTGTGAATCTGTTTCACAACAAAAATGAAAAACCCAACTAAACATTTTTTTCTTCTTCTTGGTTTCTACAATTTTTAAGTACACAACAGGAAACAAAAACAAGCAACAATACTAAACGGAGCCTAAGGTTCTGATGCCACAAGGACCAGGGGGTGCTTTGTTATCAGAATTACGCAGCCAACCAAACAATAGAACGATAGCGATGGAACGGTAGAATTCTCTCCACAACCGAGGTAATTACTCGATCGATAAGAGAGCTTGCCAAACGATTCTGGAATCCACTTAGAATAGCTTCACAAGGTTCTTGAAATTAGCTGCGGAATCCACTTGAGCTCCAAAGTAGGCTTCACAAAACAGTTAAAACACTTAACCAAATTCTGCCCCTTTTCTTGTCAATTGAGATTGCTTCTTCGTCAAATAATTTTGACTCGTTGATTAGCCGATTTGGAATCATATCAGTTGTCTTCTTGAATCTCCTTTTTAATTTATTGACAGCAAAACGTATTTATTTATTGAGCACAGTTCAACAAACTCCATAACACTTTACTTACCGAACACAAACAAAAGCAGCAAGGAACTTGAAGCCTACATAGCTCCTCTTTCTCTCTTAAGCTTTTCTACAAACATCTCCTTCACAAACCCATCCTTCCTTCCCCTCTCCCCCTTCTTCTTTTCCATCTTCACTGATCCCTTCTTCATTAAGAGCACATTTGGGATGGACATCAAAATCACAAGGTTTGCAGCTGTATGACCAAGCACCTCCCATCTCCTCACAACCATTGCACATGTACAGTTTCCCTTTCTTCCGCACAAGCTCATGCTCATGAAGTTGTTCGAGCCTCACTTTCTCCGGCCACCAATTCGCTTTCTCATCCAATTTGTGCTCGAGCTGCTCCAGATGTTCTTTAGTGAAAGGATAGGCATCCACTCCATGAAGTGCAAAGGCATCTCTGGCTTCCATTGTCGATGTCCTGCCACTCGGCCCAATCGCCACGACAGCAGGAATGCCTGATATCTTGAACTTCTTAGTCATAATGGTCTTGATCTCGGGGTCGAATGGAACAGCTAGCCAAGGCATTGTTGAGAAGTACTCGTCGAACGAGGTTTGATCGCGGTCGCTGGAGATGAACACCACTTCAAAGTTGTTGTCTATTGCCTTGAATTCAGGGTATGCTGCAACAAGCTTCGGGGTAAATTTGCGGCAAGGAGGACACCAGTGAGCTGAGAAGTATAGAAGAATGTTCTTCCCAACTAGTTCAGAAACTGGAACCTGTCCAATCAAAACACAAAGTCAATTATGAGAAGTTTAATCAAGGTTTCTGTTAATACATTTGATGTGTGAATTAGACTATAGATTCACCTTCGAACCACTCGAATCAATAACAAAATCGGTATCACCATGAACCAAAATCGACTCCAGCGTCTGCGATTCGAAGCTTGCCTTCTTGATCTCATCAAATGCAGCAAGCTTCTCTGGGCTAAACGGGTAGGCTTCGATACCAAAGTCTTCGACGAGCTCAGCAACATTCGGGTTCATTGTTTTCCCATCCGGTCCGATCAGAATCACCGAGGGAATTGTTCTGAACTGAAAGTAGTCCAGTAGCTTGCTGCAGGTTTTGTCCTTGAATGGCACAGCCAGCCATGGCATTGCCTCGAAAGACTTTTGAAAGGCATCCTCGCTGGAGTCGAACGATGCAAGCACAACCTCCAATTCCTCTCCCTTCCCCTTCACTTTCTCGTAGAAGTCCACTAGTTTGGGAGTGAATTCAGCACATGATGAGACGGCGTGAATTGATATGTACAGGCAGGCCATTTTCCCTTCAAGATCAATCACAGCAGTCTGCCAAAAGTCCCATAAACCGTAAAGAGCTGTAACGAGTTATGAATGTCAAAGAACCAGTTGATCCCAATAATTCGAGTTGTTGGGTGATATTCAATCATAGACCATATATCATCTACTAACAACGAAATCGAAAAGATGCAGAAGACAACCAGAGAACAGGAACACAACTGGAATCCATACCTTGGTTCCATCATTAGATATGAGATAATCACGAGTGGGAGAGACCAACAAAGAGCTCAGAGTCTGATTCTTCTTAGCATTCTCTTGGTCCTCAATCAGGAGATTGAGCTTCTCCTCGGTAAAGGGATAGCCTGCAGCTCCATACTTCTGCACAATCTTGACTCCTCGGCTACAAGAAACGTTTCCTTGTGTGTCAAGAATGACGAGGTGAGGAGTAGCCTTGACTTTGAACAGCTCCTTGAGGCTGGCACGAGCATCTAAATCGGAAAACGGAACGGCAAGCCATGGCATCTTGGAGAAAAGTTCATTGAACGGTTCCTCATCTTCGTCGGAGGAAATCAAAACCACTTCGAATCCGCCATTGGAGGAGAGCTCTTGATGGGTTTCCAACAAGAGCGGGAGGAACCTCTGAGAGGGTCCGCAGGCAGAGGCAGAGAAGTACAGTCCCAAAGTCTTCCCACTCAAAGTACCGATTTTGACCTGTACCCACATCAGAAAATCAGATATCAGAAACTGGGTAAACTACGATTAAAGGGAAACAAGCATATAATTTACCTGGTCGCCATTGCCGCGGATGAGAAAATCCCTGTCTTTTGCAGAGAGGAAGGAGAACAAGCAATCAGAGTCCTGCTGGCTTCCCATTTTGTGCCTGTTGCGGAGGATTCGCTTCGTTCTGCAGACTATGTAGCTGTAGAAATAATACCCGGTAACAGTAGTTGACGATGATTATACCTAAAATATAATGATCACAATTCACAACTGTGAACTATAACGACAGCAACCTATTTTCTTTGCTTCCTATGTCGTTTTGTCCAACGTATTTCATTATTAGTTCTAATCCTGTGTTTCTTTCTTTTCTTTTGTTGTATTTATCCCTATGGCCCTAGGATTTATCATGTGTATCTATTATCCCTACCTTTATCAGCAGGACATGGACGGTTTGATACCTGGTCCTTCGTCAGTATCTAGAAATGGGGATGAAGTTTTCTTAATAACTGTGGCTAATGCGTAACAGAAGATGACAAGAACCTTCTGACAGCTGATTCTCGGCCGCTTCCTTGAATCCTCGTCATATCGCTGGGCTTCAAGCTATTGGAGAAGACGTTTAATTGTAGCACAAGACGAATACCAACGGACAACCCAAAGTAAGGCAACCATTGGAGGTGGCGATTGTGCTATATTTTTATTTAGGATGATGTCCGGTTATTCGCTTAGCGGTTACATGGCTAAACTAACTAGTAATCGACGGTTTCCAGTGTAATTGATAATTTTTTTGGTCGAAAACGGAGTGTTTAAAATGGCGCCCTAATCTTTATGCATTAACTAAACGAGGTGTGGAAACTCCCACCCGATCGAAGTATAGCCAATAGAGTAGCGTGCTGCTTGGTACATAAAAAATATGCATCCTAGTAGAATAGTGTAATTGATAATTGAATAGTCGTTAACGATTAACCAACAACTAACCGTATATAAATATTTATGTTCTCTCCCCCTCCCTCCAAAATGGCTATGTTTCTCTGCCTCGGCATACATTTTCGCTCTTCCTGAAAAAGTTGATGGGCCTCGTATATCAACCTCAAATATTCATGACGGTGGTCGCTGTTCTTTAGCGTATTTGGCGGTCTCGTAACTGGATTGTCTTTTAGGGCAAACAGTTCAGGATTCCAGCGTTAATGTGGCAATTCCACCAACAATATCACGAGTGGGTTACCTTGCCAGCTAACCGCCTTTCCCGATCCTTCGTCTCTCAAGTGAGTCATGAGAGTGGTGGGAGTCATAATACAATGGTTTGCATGTGGGATGAAGCTATCAGGAGTGGGTCCCATTCAGCTGGCGGCCTAATTATCAAAGACCGTGGGGTGTGATCTCTTGGTCAATGGAGTGCAGTTTGATGCTATTGATGACCCAATGGTTGTTGAGCTCATCGTTCTTTGGGAAGTGATTCTCTAGGGTATAGAGAATGGATTTACGGAGGCAAGGTTAGAAGGAGATTCTAAAGTGATCATTGATAAAATCAATTAGGCATGTAGTAGTGATAATCGGGTAGGGGCCATCTTTGAGAAAGTCATGCGCAATTTAGTTGTGCACACTGGGTTAAATGTGCGATTTGTAGCTCGGAGTAGTAACAGGGTAGCCTATTGGGTGGTTAAAAATGCCGTTTCATTGTACCCGACTATGTGTTGTTTCTTTGATTTTCTTGTATGTAATATTTTTGTTTGAATGAATATATATATGATTGTCTTTTGTAAAAAAAAACGGCTATATCCCAACCAAACAAACTATCTCCTCCCAAGTCCCAACACAACCCACTTCTTCTTTCCACAATCTTCTCCTAGTGTGAGCCCTAAATTGAAAAGGGCAAAGAACGTCGTCGATTTTGCAATTAAAATGTAGGCATCAAGATTGGATAGAGAAGTTCGAATTTCAAAGATTGCAAAGGGGCACATGAAGGAAGGATTGCAAATGCAAAGACCGCTACTCCAATTTCTTCCATCAATGACTTTCATCACTCTTCTCCTTGCTCTCTTCACTTTCTTCTTTCAGTCCCAATAGAAACAACAATTCAAACCCAAATCAATTATACAGATTTTAAAAACATACAAAAATGCGCATAGGAAAAAAAAAAAGAGGGAGAGCTTTTGTTGGCTCAGTTACCGATTGTTTATTTTGGTCTAATCTTTGCTAGGGGTGGTTCATGGTCGGGTTTGGTCTAACAGATAATCTAAACTTTTGTTATCAGTTAGCCTAAACTCGCCCAATTTTCCACTGATAGCGGACCGAAGGAGACCTTCGGTTAACTAGCCAACCGACCAAGTGATTTTTGGTTTTTGATCCGGTTAGCTGCGAAACCGAAAGACAATGATATTTTTGTTTAAACCGGGTAACCGACTAGTAGACAGTAGTCAGGTACCAATTATAACAATTGCCAACAAAAAAGTGTCTGGCACAATAAATGATAAATGGCATGTACAAAACGCGGGGGCAAATTTTAGCGAAAAATGACTTTCCGGCCAAAATCAAGTCCGACGATGGGATTTGGAAAGTAATTAGTTAAGAATTAATTAATTGCAGGGTTTCTAAGAATTTTTTTTGGTGGTTACGAAAATCATAAAGGAAAAATCCCGGATTCCAATATCGCGAGAGAGACGTGGGGTAAATCCATTATTTAATAACTAATTGGAGCATTCCCAATTAGAGAGTTCCGAAAATAATTCTTCGAGTCGCGCCCTCCTCCTGTCTTTCAGACCCTAATGCGTCGAGGGAAGTCATAGGTACCTTTTCATATTTGTATATGGAGTACTTTATTTAATTTCCTCTGCAGTATTGCGCTTTGGCGATATTTATCATGCACTACAAAAATAATCAATGTTGTCAAAAGCGAATCGGAGTATGACCCGATAACGTGAACGGCTCGATTTTTAGCGGTCCAACCGGCATTAAACCGTTTAAAATCGTTAGAAAACCGGTAGCTAATAAACAATCAGTATAAATAGCGGACACTTCTTAATCATGGTAAACCATGACTAAATTAGTAAATTACACTCTTAACAATTCCAAAACATGAGTACCAAAAGGGGTGAGACGGCCGGAGTAGGGAAGTGCTCGATTTAAGCCTTTGGCGATGGCTATCAAAGGAGCAGCTGCGGGAAGAAGGGACGGGGACTGGCGAGCGGGGAGCGGCTACAAGGGCTGGGGATGGCGATGATGGCGACGGGACAAGAAGTGACAAGAGCGGAGGAGTTGCTACGGGAAGAGGGGACGGGGACAGGGATGGAGACTGGCGATGGCGAACTAGGAGCTGCTACTTTGACTGGGGATGGCAATGTTGCCTACAGGAAGTGTTGACGGCGACAAGGATTGGCGCCGCTCTTCTCCCTCTGTTCACGAAGAGTCGAAGACGAAGACTGAATTAGAGTTAGGATTTCATTCCTAGGCCCGTGATTTTTCCTTTCGTTTTCAATTTTTTTTATTAAACAGAACGGCCATAAGGGAAAAAACCGAGTGACCGGTTCGAGCGGTTAACCACCTCGGCCGCTCGGCGACCGCTCCATAAAACCGTAGCGGCTAAATGACTGGCCCGAGCAGGATTTGTGACCGAGTGGCGGCTTTATCGGTCCGGCCGGACGGCTCGGTCCGGTCTTAATAACACTGAAAATAATTAGTTTTCCTTTCCTAATTAACGTAACTCAAAGATAATTTGGTAATAACTATTTATTAATGAACTTCCCTAATTAAGATAACTCACAAATAATTTGACAATAACTATTTATTAATTTGTCAATCCCTATAAATTAACTTCCCTATTTATTAATTGACGATCATTTTGGGCTTTGGCAGAATTTGGGGGGAAGGGGAGGGGATTTCGGTTAGCTTAACCGTGGTTATTCGGCTAACTGAAGAATACCATTCTCCTTTCGTCAACCGATTTGCCAACCCTAATCTTTGTCAAATCACTTGATAAACAATTAATCAGTTAAGCGCCATAATAACCGATAACTAACTATATAATTATGATTAATAGACTAATATAAACATCGAAGTTAACGGGAAACAAAAATTTATTGTCCTCTTTAACGTCAAAGTAACTAAAGCTTTGACAGAAGGATACAATCATTACGTTATTATTCTTGACGAACATGAAGGTAGAAAACATAATAGAGAAATACTTTTGTTAATTTACAATTGTACGAAACTACAAAATGCTATTAATCCATGGTAAACTAATCAAACATGCAGCTAATTAACTTATCAACTAGCTACTTGTACGTATATACTTAACTAGTCTTGTGCCCGCCCGATGGGCGGCGAGTTACATTTGTTTGTATATTTACTTATATTATAATATTATATGTCATTTTTTTAAAGGTATGAGGGGTGCTACATTTAATCAAGGTTTTAATCATGATCAACAATAATGTCAAACAACGTTGTAACTTCAAAACTGCTTGGAAAATAGTATTCATACCACCTCATCTTTTATTAGCCTGCAATTTTCAACTTCATAAGTTGTACATGGTTTAAGCTAGCGTACGCCACCTTACCGTACTCATTTCGAGTTTTGCTATTTAGACCATTAATTAACGGAGTTTGGGACATGATACTATACCATAGTCTCTGGGCGAACCCCATTCCATAATTCTCAATCCAAATCGTAAGATTCATTTATAACAAAAATAATAACCAAGGATTATTATTTGTCAAAATATATTAAAGAACAACTAATATGTGTGAACGAAGGTGTATATTACACCTCGATTGTATGCTAGGCTTTTCCACCATTATATTAAAGTACAACCAAACTTGCTATGCTTCTATATTACCTTCAACATTTTATGAATGATATCAAATCGAAATGTTAGTTATAGAGACACTTTGTCTTCGCTTCACATTATCATCAAATATTAAATGTGTGACGGGTTGTAATTGGAATTGTGTGATAACTTAATACAAACATAAAGGCGCCATGTTGTGCAATTAGTACAATAGATGAATTTATAGGACATTGGTCAGGGTATTATCCTGCGTTGGTTTTACGGGACACCGGTTCGTGTATGTCCCGCACTGTTATACAGGATATCGGTGGGGTATGATCCCGTAGTGGATTTACAGGACACCAGTCTATGTACGATCCACAGTGGTGTACATTACATCTAATGTACTATCTGGGGAGTGTATGACTTGGCAAATTAAGAAGTAAAAAGCACTGATCAACCTAACCATGCATGTGATTGAATTCTTGTGTAAAGATTACTTATGATGTGGTTAAGTGATGACTTCCTATGATGTGATATATGAAATGTGCATGTCGATGATGATGGTTATGTAATGGTTTTCTATGGTGTTTTAGACAATGATTTACCATTAGATGGTGTAATGTTTCGCAATGTTGGGACGGGGTTAAATGGTAATGCCGATATGATGTGATACTTAATGCATACATGTTTATACAGTGAGTTATCCAGAGGCTTGGTGATGGTCCTATGCAATGCAGTTAAAATCACGTTTTAAAACTTAAAAGCTTACGGTTTTACGCTTCTAGGTCACCAAAACGCTTTCGTTTCCATATAAAAACTTAAGTGTATAAAATCAGACTAAATTTCGCTTTACAGCTTAAAAGCTTACGCTTTTACGCTTCTAGGTCACCAAAACGCTTTACGATTTTACGCTTTTAGTTCACTAAATGGGTATTTTCATGAAATTAGGGCTTGTTTGTTTGTTGGGTTTGAAAATGAAGGTTTTGAGTTTTGAAAACCTTAAGATTTATGATGGATTTGTTGCATTTTGTATTTGAAAGATAACATTGTTTGTTTAGTTGAATTTTTATCATGGATTTAGTTCATTTGGTATTTGGTTCTCAAAAATTTGACTTCCATAATGTGGTATGTGCAAATATGTGGGGTCCACAGATTTGGAGCTATAAGAGCACCCCCAATGGTGCAAATGAGGGGAATTGCATGCTGAGGTGGCACTCTTGTGCAATTGAAAAAGTGGGGATCATTGTTGGAGGGAGAGTTTCATGGGTTGCAAATTTGCACAACATGAAAATCTGACATGCAATTGCAAGTGATTCAATTGTTTGTTTTTGTTTTTCTTTCTTCTTTTCCCAACCATTTGAGTGGTATTAAAATATAAGTGGGACCCATAAGTGCAATTGCATTGGAATTGCATTGATGTAGCTAGCATGAAATTGATGAGTGAAGTAATTGCTAAAGTTGCTTAGATGGCAGTAGGGACCACACTTGAAAGGGAAGAAGGATTGCATTGTTGGAGATGCTCTAAAAATGGTCCAAATCCGTGGGCCCCACGGATTTGCATACCTTAACAAACAATGACTTTTGGACAAAAACATGATGGTTGGTATTTGGAGACCAAATACAACATCCAAATCTCATTAGCAAACAACACCTAATTATAAAAAGTATATTTTAAAGGTAAATCACCAAAAATAAGAAACATTTGATATTAAAAGATACTTAGATGCATTCCCAACTTCAATAGAGTAATCTAATTTACCAGCTAGGCTCTTCCCAAATTCATTAACATAGAGGGGAATGTGGCTTATTGTTAAAATTTATGTTTATTCACTTATTATTTAGAGGCTATAAGTTGCTCTACTTTAGACATGAATTGCAGATATTTATTAACTTATCTAAAATTTGGTGCACTCATCTTTTACCTAGTATATGTCGTACTTACCATATTTTTAGTGATTTTACAGTATGCGTCAAAAACTTACGCTTTACGATTTTACCCATTTTCCGCTTCTAGGTAGAATCACGCTTTTGACTGCATTGGTCCTATGTTGTTAATGTATGAATTATTTGAGTTTGAGATGATGAATGTGGTATGACATGTGGTGATGAATGGATGTTTATTTTGACTGATAGAGATATAACATATCGGATGTATCTTGACAGTGAAGTTAAGCGAGTAAGGGCCGAGAGGTGGGTGACCGGGAAACTGAATACTCCATATTTTGCCATGGTCACTGGAAGGGACAATAAGTCCTTTCGAGTTGTACTCTTAAAGGTAACGGAGAAGAATTATATCATTATCTTATGAGTCGGGTTATCCGGCGAGTATAAATGGTTACTAAAAATAGAATAGTAATATATGTATTAGCGTGTCACATTAAGTAAGGATTAAAATAGTTATTTACATCTCAACCATTATATATATTAAGATTCGTTTATAAATCTTTTTTAATTAAGATGTTATGCATCTGAAGATGACTCAGTTGCAAATCTACACTCTAGGAAAAAGAAAAGAATTAATGTCAAACAATAAAAAGAAAAAATTATAATTACATCAGAAAAAAGTAAAGACAATGTGTTTTATAATTGTGCATGGAAGAAAATTCCATGATGTACGAAAATTTGAAAATAGAATGAAATTGGAATCGCATAAAAGAAAACATCATGATATCATTTAATATGCGAGAAACGTAAAATTCATTCCCTAAAGATGACAAATACATATGTATATGTCCATTATTTTTCTTGTAACTTCTTACCAATTGAGAATGGACATATTTAAGTCATATAACCATAATTCGGTTTAAAAAAAAGATACAAAAAAATATGGTAACCATTGGTGTCTGGTGATATTCTTAAACACATGAAATTGTTGTGTATCACTAAATTGAATTATGTTGATATATTTAATTAATCTTAAAATATAGGAATATCTCACATGAATAAGTTATTATGACTCTGGATTTGACTTAGCAAACAATCATTTTTACTTCTACTATTATCTCTTAATAATCTAGTAATCACACAAAAAATGTTATTTTTCTAGTACAGCTAAATAAGAGTGTATTATCTCATATATTTATAGTAGCTATTTTCTAACAAATTGCAACATAACTGTATTGGTTAACATATTTATAGTAGTTTGTACAAAAAAATGTTAAATATTACGTGTTAGAATACGAAAGAAGGTTATTCTTAGTTTTTAGGTTTTTCATTTTTAAAAAATCATATGTCAAATTATGTAAAAGTTAATAATTGGGTACCAACTAAATTCATGATTTTGGATTTTTTAATTATGTTTCAAAGATTATAAATATTATCAAACATATTATAAACTAAAAATTAAATTAGGTTATTTTTAGTTGTTAATGATTTCTATCGTTTCGTAAAAATAGAATACAAAATTTTAAGCGTGATAGCTTTTATTGTGTAATGCACATCAGTTAACCATTAAATAAAAATATAATTTTATGTGTTGTATATTTTTTTATAAAATGATGAATAATCTTGTTGTGATTAATTCCATAAAAGATATTTTTTCTATTGGTTAAACAACTTAAATGATTATAGTTTGAGCTCCTAGGTTGCATGATTAAATCTTAGTTATGGTGATTGATATAAATGTTTTGTTGTGATCAATAACATCAAATATACTTTATCCTATTGTTTGAACACTTGAAATGATGATAATTTGAGCTTGGAGGTCATATGTTCAAATCTTGATCATGATGATTGATACACATGGTTATTTAATTTAATTTTAATGTAATTAATAACTTAAAATCTTAAAATCTTAAATGACATGGAAAATTGTGGAACTTTCTTTGTCCTACGTGGCAAAAACTTTTTCCACAACGGTCATAATATATGTTAAGATAAGATTATTTAGAGTGTTGGAGGAGACCGCATATACGGAATTCATTTCCTTTTGTTGAGCAAAGAAACGTGGAAAATAAGAGAAATATATAGTAATGGCACAAATGTATCACACAACTTGGATGAATACTAATGGTTGCAAGAAGTTGTTATTATTATTATTATTTTTTTTTTTTTTGTTTAATGATTCACAGAAAGAAAATGACTAAGCTACATTATAAGTACCCATACTTAAATTAATCCACTATAACTTGAGTTAATAAACAACTAGAGTGAGTGGCCATTAGTTCAGCAAAAGCTATGGAAGGAGATAAAGTGGCCAAATTACCACATTTCCTGCTACTACCATACCCAATCCAAGGCCACATAACCCCCATCGTCAAGCTAGCTCACAAGCTCCTCCGCCATGGAAGCAGAGTCACGTTCCTCACTACAGAGTTCGCCCACTCGCGGATGAAGAAGGCGGATTCGGGTCGTGACCACACGCACCACCGCAATTTCAGGATATTGTCGGTCTCCGACGGACTTCCTGCAGAACATGAACGCAAAGACGAGGTTGAAGTCGGGCAGAGTTTCTCCAGAGCAATGCCTGCTCACTTACATGCCTTTCTCAGCAGCTGCAGCAGCAGCAGCAGCAGTAATAATAAGGTCATTAATCAGGAGGAGATAATCAGTTGTGTCGTGGCTGATTCTATTATGTTATGGGCGGTGGAGATTAGTAAGAGATTTGGGATCAAGACTGCTGTGCTCTTTGTTTCTTCTCCTGGGAACCTGTCCATGGTGCTCCAAATACCTAAGCTCATTCAAGCTGGAATCATTGACCCTGAAAACGGTAATTATTTATACTACACGTTTGAAGTGTTCTTTTATTTTGCAAACATATGTTATCAACGATCGAATTCACAACTTGCTTGCTCGCGGCATGCAGGTAGTCCGAGAAAAGCAGAGGAAATGGAAATATCTCCAAACCTGCCCAAACTAAGGAGCCGGGATTACACGTGGAACATCCCAGGAGACGACGAATTAATGAAAAAGATGGTCTTCTAACGCCATCACCCTCGTCAACCGCAGCCTACGGGCCGCTGACTGGGTCCTATGCAACTGGTTCTCCCAACTCGACCCATCGGCCCACGCTTTGCTACCAGGCCCAACCACCCTCCTCCCTGTAGGCCCATTGCTAATGCTCTCGGGCGAGACTCCCCAAGGAGGAAACCTCTGGGCCGAGGACTCCACCTGCCTATCTTGGCTCGATGCGCACCCACCCGGTTCAGTCGTCTACGTCGCATTCGGCAGCACAACCAAGTTCAACCGAGCCCAGGCCCAGGAGCTAGCAATGGGCCTTGAGCTCTTGGCCCGGCCATTCCTCTGGGTTGTCCGGCCAGGCCTGATCGAGGACGACGATGATGGGAGTGGGCTCGATGAACAGCAAGATGGGGAAGGTGGTGGGTTGGGCGCCTCAGGAGAGAGTTCTGGGCCACCCTTCGGTGGCTTGTTTCTTGACCCACAGCGGCTGGAACTCTGTCGTGGAAGGGATCGGCTTCGGGGTTCCGCTGCTTTGCTTGCCGTATCGCGGGGATCACTTCTACATAAGGACTTGTGTTTGTGAAGGGTGGAAAGTGGGGATGGAGCTGGATCCGGATGATGAGAGTGGGATTGTGACGAGGGATGAAGTCAAGAGAAAAGTTGAGGATTTGTTGTGTGATGATGAAATCAAGGCTAATGCGTTGAAGTGGAAAGAGTTGGCTCAAGCTAGTGCGATGGAAGGAGGGCTTTCGGACCAAATATTGGCGGATTTTGTTCGTAAGCTGACAACCGTCTGATACGCTCTGTACCAGATAAAATATTGGATACTTAATTATATATAAATATATATGTTGCAAGGCAAGCTTCAAATCTACTTTCTTTTAGTTGCTACATTTTTATAGGAAATCAAACACTTTTTTTAACACACAGTGGTGACTCAGTTAGAGTCTCGCATCGCAACAGGTTACAAACTAATATGAAACTACATTGACACAAACATGCAAACAGAAGCTTGCCAACTATTGTGAAACTGTAGCTGCACAAACATACCTATCAACTTCTATAAACAATGTACACTACTACAATCTACAACCAAATTTACATTGTGTTCTCTGGCTAACATGTAAAATATGTTATACGCAGAAGCAAATAACATAACAATATACGTGGTTTCCCCGTTCGCTATAAATGAGACTACTCCACGGAGAGCTGAAGCTCTCAGTTGATCTTTTATTAGCTGCGCAGAATTCAAGCAGCAGTCTTTCTCGCTACATACTGCATACATATGGCAGCAACACTTATATACCCTTTAGCAAATAAACTAGGGTAATTAGGTCTAACTGGACAACAACATAAAAGGACCTCCCACATAATTAATATGTACAAAGTGACCTGCTCAACACTCTCCCTCAAGCTGACACATGGAGATCTCGAATGGTCAGTTTGGACAACAAGAACTCGAACTGCTCCGTCCATAGTGCCTTGGTGAATATGTCTACCAGCTGAGTCGACGTGTTGATCTTTGTCGGCTTTATTTCCTTGGACGTTACCTGCTCTTGCACGAAGTAGCAGTTCATCTCCACGTGCTTTGTTCTTTCATGGAAGACTAGGTTCGCTGCAATATGTAGTGCAGCCTGGTTGTCACAATAGAGTATGGTAAGACGTGTTTGAGGTACTCCAAGCTCTGCCAGTAGGAAACGCAACCACAAGATTTCAATGACTGTACTCGCCATCTCCCTATACTCCGCCTCTGCTGATGAATGTGATTCCACCTTTTGCTTCTTCGTCCTCCAGGAAGTCGGCGCACCACCCAACTGTACATAGTACCCATTAGTCGATCGCCTAGTTTTTTGGAAGCCTGCCCAGTCTGCATCGTAGTATGCCAAATTTGATCGAGGCGTCCACCTGCGGGAAAAATAAGCCTTCTCCTGACGACTTCTTTAGATAGCGAAGAACCCTCATGACTGCTACTACATGCTCTGGGCTAGGGCGATTAACAAACTGTGAGAGAATATTTACTGCATAGGAAATGTCAGGATGTGTTACCTTCAAGTAGAGGAGGCACTCGACAAGTCGTCTGTAACTACCAACATCATCAACAACTTCTTATGTTGTCTTGGTGAACGTGTGGTTATGCTCCATCGGGAAATTGCTTGGCCGCGAAGCTGTGACACCGGCACCCCTCAAGATATCTAGGGTGTACTTCCTCTGGCTCAGCACTGCCCCATCGGTTGATCTCGCCACTTCTATCCCGAGAAAGTACTTTAAGTTTTCCAGGTCTTTAATGTTGAACTTCTTGTCTAAGTACCCTTCACTCTCGCAATAAAAGCCTGGTCTGTACATGTTAAGATCACATCATCAACATATACTAGTGCTGCCACAAAGACATTGTCACGTCTATATATGAGAAGAGAGTAGGGATGGCAATTTGGATCCGCTCTGCTGGAATTTATCCGACCTGCTCTGTAATAGAGCGGATTTTATCTGACCCGTTCTAAAGCAAAGCGGATCTTGCCCCGCTCTGCTCTACCTCGCCTGACATCCAACTACCTAAATTTTATACCCATACTTAATTATTTATCATTAGCTTCACGAGAGGAAGGCTTCTCATGTTTCTTGAACTCTCCAACTATAATATTTCTAGAGAAACACATATGTCAATGGCCAACCTAGAGAGTAGAGTCCTCAATTAATTAGAGCATGAAATGAAATTCCCTTTTAAGGTTTCCCACCTCATGTCTCATCTATATATATATGGCAAAGGCTAGCGTACACGTACGCCCCATTGAGTTTTGCTATTTAGACAAAGAATTAATCGGAGTTTGGGACATGATACTATATATATATATATATATATATATATATATATTCCAATTTATTGCCCAATCCCCACCATCACCAATTGCCATTCCCAGGGTCCAGGGAAATATAATGGGGTTAGAGGAAGAAGATTATTAGAATGAGCTAAGATAGAAAAGATAAAGGGTGGGGGTCTTTGGTTGTCGGCACTACAAGCTTGGTCAACAAAGTTAGATCCGACGGAGTAGAGCGGGGCAGCATTTGGCTGGGTGGGGCAGGGCACGGGGTTGGTGGTACCCGCCCCATTTTAGATCTGTTGCCCTCCCTAGAAGAGAGTGATCGTCCTTAAAGGGTTTGAAGCCGAGCTCCGCAAGAGCCAGAGTGAAGTTCTGGTATTAATTTCTCGACGCCTGTCGCATCCCATTTAATGACTTCTTTAGTAGAAAAACTCTGGAGTCACCTGGTTTGCCAAAACTTGGAGGCAACTTCATATATACCTCCTATTCCAAGTCTCTGTGCAGAAACGCAGTATTCACGTCAAACTAAAGCAATGGCCATCCACGATTAACCGCTACTGCAATGAGAACTCGAATAGTAACTATCTTGGCTACTGGAGCAAAAGTGTCATGGAAATCTATTCCCTCCAGCTGCGTGAATCCCTTAGCAACCAAATGAGCCTTAAACCGCTCTATCGTGCCATCCACTTTGTACTTTATTTTGAAAACTCATTTCGCTTCAATTCCCTTCTTGCCCTGCGGTAAGAACGCGAGGTCTCACGTCCCATTTGCAACGAGAGCGTCTATCTTTTTCATCATAGCCTCCCGCCAGTGAGGATCCCTCATTGCTTCCATGAAGCTTTTCGGTTCCTCAACTTTGCCAATGCCCGCTAGATATGCTTTATGCTCAGGGGAGAAACGGTGATAACTCACTTGGTTTCACATCAGGTACAACACCGCCGAGTCATTATGTGCATGGCCTGGGAATTCTGCCTCATAAGTTTCGACAAGGTGTCGCGGTGGACGTCGCACTCGAAGACCACGCCCCAACTCAGGTTCGCTCTGCTCCCTTGTGCTTTGATCGTCATCTGTCTCACCTCCCTGCTGAATTTCTTCCTTTTCTTCACGTGGTACGCTATCATGCATACCTGCTGCATGCGTCCCATGCAACTCCTCATCGTTAACAACATGATTAGTATGATGATGGTTGTGACGCATATTCATGGGATCCCATATCTCACTGCCACCAGACTCATCCATGTTGGGGTCGCGATTTATCATGTAAAACAAGCTGTCCTCAACAAAATGAGAGTAACGAGACGTGATAATTCGTCGAGCTTGAAAATCATACACTTTGTACCCCTTTTATGAAAATCATACACTTTGTAACCAAAGAACACACCACGTTTCCCCCTCTCGACAAACTTATCTGGGTCGTGACCGGTATCCTTGGTGTAGAAAAAGCAACTGAAATTCCGCAGTGATGATAGGAGGGTGTGCAGCCGAGTAAGATCTCGTAAGGTGTCTGATTCCCAACAATGCTAGAGGGAAATCGGTTAATGAGATAGGTCATCGTGAGGACACATTCCACCCAAAATCGGACGGGCAGCCTTGAGTGAAACCGAAGGGCTCGTGCCGTCTCAAGGAGGTGTCTGTGCTTGCGCTCTGCAACACCATTCTATTGTGGTGTATTGACACAAGAAGTCTGGAGACGGATTCTGTTCTGTTCATAATAATCCAACAAGATCCCACATTGGAACTCTAGCCCATTGTCAGTTTGGATACATCAAACTTGTCCTACAAATTGTGGCATGGCCATCTGACAGAAAAGCTGAACATAGCATTCAACCTGACTCACTCCTACTGTCACCCTAGAAAATGGCCAAGTGTAACCACTTCCTAAAGCGTAGTATAGCGGGTTTGGGTTTTAATGTCAACCCGGGTCCTAGATATAATGACTACTCTGTGAATTCATATTATCTAGCAATGAAACTTTAGTGAAAATCTAAACTAACAAACAAACAAAGCAACTAAACGGTTGTTTTCAGGTTAAGAGAGGTCACCCGGATATGGTTTCCCCTAGACTGCAGTTAAGCCGGATTGCAATTAACCAAGTTCAGTTTTCATGAAAGTTATACTGCGGAAGGTTCTTAAATAGTCTGAAGTCTCGACTAAAGGTCTTCAGACCCTCTCAATCTGAGTCTCTAGCGGGCGACTAACCTCCACCGGAGTAAACAGATTGAGGCCCTAACAAGCCAAACCTCCACTACCGAATTGAATTCGGTACAGAATAGCGAATTGGCTCCTCGACTAAAGTCACCAATTCGCTACCTTTAATTAAGGATACTCTATCAACCTAGGCAGATATTCTCATTCTAGGTCAAAGCAGAAACAACAGGAATTTGATCAGGATTCAAGTCATTCAATCATTCAAACCTCAATCGAATATAATCAATTCACAAACTCTGTACTTGGGTTCATACAATCAGACCTAGCATACAAATCTAGGGTTCCCCATACCCAGATGAATGGGGAAACTACTCCATAGAGAAAGAAGCAAAAGCGGATTCAGACGCGGAAATCATACTGTGAAGATGGATTTCTGCTCCTGGACGTTTAATCGGCACTTCTCCAAGCTTAATTAAGCCGAGCTCCAATGGTGATGAAGATCAAGCTATGGCACTTGGGAACTCTGGTTCGTCGCTTTCTCTCTCTAGGAATCGCTTTCTCTCTCAAAAACTCGGAACCCTTGAATGTTGGCCTTCCTTTCCCTTAAATCTGCTGCCTGGTCGCGATACCCGGTCGAAATACCCGGTCGGGTATTTTGGGTATCGACCGGGTATTATCCAAAACGCGCGTTTCATGCAGGGGAAAATCCCCAGTCTGCCCCAATAATCCCCGACCGGGGATTTTGCCTTCACGCCCGGGCCCCTCTATGCTCCTCGGTCTACCAAAATGATAAATACCCGGTCGGGTATTTGGCCCCCCCCGACCGGGTATTTTCCTCCTGCAGCCCAATTCGTCCCAACTTTGCTCCTTTCGATCCAGAACTCGTTTCTCCGCCTTGATTCCAACGTCGGGTCCTGAAATATGGCATAAACACACAACCTAGCGTGAAATTGGCTTAAAACACGAGAATCCACATCTCAAACGGCTTCAGGATAGGGGTGAAAACATGTGTAATTATCGGTCTATCAAACTCCCCCACACTTAACCGTTTGCTTGTCCCCAAGCAAACCAAGTCAGACACAAGGTAAGCTTACATTTTTCAATCAACCAACATTGGGGACAAGTCATAAAGGCACAGAACACGTGAATCGTACTGGTTCTCAAACATCAACACATGAACAACCTCAATAGCAACCTGGACAACCACCACAAAGGACATTCGAGTGCAGCAAAATCGAGTAAAGGAAGAGTCTCCCTTCTGTTCACCAACCAACCTAGACTTGACTCAACCACTTACTCAAAACAGTCAACTCATGCATCCAACTCAAGACATCAGAATAGAGACCGAGCAATCTAGGTCCTCACCGGGGTATAAGATTATATAGAATATGAAAATGAATCACTCACTCTCGACCAGTGGGGTCAGGACAATTTGATGCGAAAAATGCGCATGCTATTTCTCTCAATCCCTAACATCTCTTCACCATGATGGCAGCCTCTAAATGCTAGAGTTCACACATGGGGTGTCACCACTAACTAATCAGGAGGTCTTAGACACAGGTTCAAATGACTGGCCAGGGTCTTGGACATGGGGAAAAGGCCTTTTAGGTGGTGGACGTATTCAAAGCACAAGGTTCCACATTTCCAAACCCACACAATCATAGTGAAACAAACCGGTACTTCCTTTATGCTATTCTGCATTAATCAATATCTCAAGAGCACAAGAGCGAAGTAGGTATAAATGTCAGCATTTCCAAGCCAGACTGCTAAGAAACACTACTTACTGGGCATTATTCAGATTTTTGGTAGTGGCTCTCTTTTGCTTTCAATTTTTCTTTGTTTTTCTTTCATTTTCTTTTCATTTCTTAAGAGAGCCCACCACTTCTGCACATATTTCAAACACATGCCCAACTTTTAAGCACTACCTCCAACACTGCAATTAAATTTAGCAGAAACAGCAGAGAATATGTAAAAACCACTCTGTGGAACCTTCTAAAGGATGCAAAAGGGTGATTTTTTTCATTAAAGACCAAAAGAAAGGATAACGCACGGCTCAAAGGGGCTGACTAGGAGATATGACACATCAGGACAGTCAACTTTGGTCGTGGGCTAATCCTATGCCCCCATCATCTTAGCTAGTGACAACGTGAATGCTACACATCATGGAAGAGGGATCTATCGCACAAGAAAGAAACGAGCATGCTCAAATCTCACATGGCTACCTATATGCTCTATCTCACATTCTGATACCCTGAACTAGATGCATAAACGACTGTCAAGAACAAGTGATTAAATCAAGTCACAGTTGGTAAGCAAACAGTTGAAAAACTGAACCCTACATAATTCTACTGCACATCTCAGTCCTCATCATAGGTTGTCCTAGTCACAATCAAGCTGCCATGCATCAATCCGAAAACCATTCAATTCATCAATCAAAGCACAGTGCCAATATGATCAAACAGCAGTACTTGGAGCCCTCAAATCGTAAGATTCGGACAGCGGACTAGGCTCCAAGCACACAAATATATTCCAACCGATACAAAGCACCCCCCCCCCCACACTTAAGCACGACATTGCCCTCAATGGAGTAGAGGGAGAGATAAGGGGAACGATGTTATCGGTGTGCACAGACTGCAGGAGACTGGAAATGGACCAGTCGGCATGAAACGGACTGGAGAGAGGACCAGTCGGGAACACGGGCACAGCTAAAGGAAACCAAAGAGCTCAAACACAATACGTTAGGTCCAATGGTTAGCCCAATAGTACAGCATCCAAGACAAAAGAAAACAAACCAAAGCCAAAGCTATTGGCAATCCGACCGAAAACAAAAGAAATAAATGAAGACCGTGGTGGGGTTGCCTCCCCACAAGCGCTTCTTTACCGTCTTGTAGCTGGACGCCCATGGTGGATAATCAGCGCGGTGCAGGAACAGGTGCCTCCAAGAGCGGATCCACGTCACTCTTGAGGTACAACTTCAAACTATGGCCATGCACCCGACGGATGCGACCACCAGCATTGGTCAACTCGACCTGGCCATCCGGCAAGATGCAGGCGAGTGAGTACTCGGATGGCCAGGGTGGTCGTGGTGCAGGTGGTGGAACTAGCTCATAGTGGTCTCCACCTTTCTTCCGTGCAGGCTTGGTAACCGGCTGCTTCGGTCGTCACTCCTCCTTGATCTTTTTGTTCGGAGACGAGGCTGGATGGAGTGGCGGCGAAGGAGTGAGAGGAGGGTCCTTCAAAATGGGAGATGCAGACGGATACACGACAGGCTCGTGTACCGGGTCAGAAATAGCATGCACAGGTGTGATAGCAATCATAGCACAGTGATCGAATTCAGTCACAGCAAAGGTAGCCTGTTCATTTCCAGCACGCAGTATCAGTTTATCCTCATGCACATCAATAAGTGCCTTGGCGGTGGCATGAAATGGTCTCCCTAAAATCAAAGGCACATCCACATCCTCATTTATATCCAGAATAACAAAGCCAACAGGATATGTGAATGCACCCACATTAACAAGCAGGTCCTCTATGATACCCCTAGGATGCACAACGGAACGATCAGCTAGCTGAATGCTCATCCTAGTAGGGCTAAGTTCACCTATGTCTAGCTTCTTAAACAACTTATATGGCATGACGTTTATGCTAGCGCCTAGGTCCGCCAAGGACTTGCCTACATGCATGCTGCCAATAGTAAGAGGGATAGTGAAACTCCCTGGGTCCTTGCGCTTTTCGGGCAGCTTGTTCTGCAGGATAGCAGAACACTCCTCGCTCAGCAGCACTGTCGAGAGATCCCCAAGTTTCTTCTTGTTGGTAAGGAGATCTTTCATGAACTTTGCGTACTTGGGCATCTTTGATAGTGCCTCCACAAACGGTATGCTGATGTTGAGCTGCTTCAACATTGCCATAAACTTGGCAAACTCAGTCTCCAGCTTGCCTTTGTGTAGGCGAGTGGGGAAGGGAAGCTGGGGTACGTGCTCCTTAACCACTGGTTGTGGCTTGGGAGCAGGGGCTTCCTTCTCCACCCGCACTTCTGTACCATCGGCGGGAAGTCACTACAACAAATTCGGCCTATTATGACGAAGCAATTTTGTCATATTAGATACCAGTTTTGTCATATTAGGTATAATATGACAAGAGCTGTTTTCACAAAGGTTTGTCATTTTATCGCCGTCAAGATAGGTCAAATGTGACAAAAATTTAAAGCAAGGTTGTCACATTTGCTTTCAGTATATCCGAGGTTCTGGGTAGTCTATTGTGACAAAAAAAGATATTATGACGACATATTTTGTCATTACGGTTGTCATAATCTAGTGATTTTGGGAGAATTTTCGTCATATTACACGATTATATTTTGTCGTAACTATATTTTGTGACGACTACATTTTGTCACAAGTGCTTATTGTGACAACATTATTTTGTCATAACTGAATATTATGATGAATATACTTTGTCATAACTGCATATTATGACGAGTATAGGTCGTTAGGAAAGGTGGTTTAATTGTCTCATGTCTAATATGACAAGAGAACAATTTGTCAGGCAATGTACATAATGTGACGACATGATATTGTTGTCACATTTGACCTGCTTCAAAAATTTTATAATTCGAAATTGTTTGTTGCATTGCAACCTGATAATGGAAAGATTATCAAAGATTCAAAACATTACAACCATTTCCATAGCAGTCTAACTCCTTGTTCAACATAACCAAACATTCTAAGTTGTCCACCATGACACAAAACATTCTAACTCCTTTGCTGATCTTGGGTTCTCCTTTGGTCCATACTTAACCTTTTTCTTCAGTAACTTCTAAACAATCTCATCATTGGCTCCTCAAGTCAACGATGATACGGTGATGAGCTCGATCCTCTTGGACTTCTCATGAGAACAGCGAAGCTCTGGTCGAACGGACAAGATTTGTGAAAGATTTGCTCTAAGCATTTTCTTGGATTAGATTTTGAAGCTTCTGGTTTTCACACTTTGGTAAACGATACCATGTGCCAGGAAAATTCAGGTCAAAATGTAAACCATGTTCTCAGTTTCAGGCTCTGAAATTTCTTTCCTATATTAGAAAAATTCATAATGTGTCGAGTAAAACCAAACAATACAGTTGAATATATATAGCAAACATGACTGTTCAATTAAAATATAGCTGAAACAGGTAGTATGATAAGATCTGAGAGCGAACACACCTTTATAGAATTTTTCATGGAACCAGAGAAGTGTCCGTTATCTCCAACAAGCAACAACTAAAGAATGACCCTTAAGTGATGCAGCTGGCTCAAAGACGTTTGTGGCTGCATTATATCTCCATGCCAAGATTGCTAAATCCTGCACTAATAAAAAATTTAACAGTTATAAGTTGTTCATCCTATACAACTGCAAAAGAATGACTCCAGGCAACAGTAGGATGAATAGCATCATCCAGAAGTCTAATGCAACCATACGACTGAAAGAAAGAAGAGGAGAAACAAAAGCTTCCTCTCCTTTTTCTACTTCTTCTTCCTCTCTTCTCTGCTTCCCTCCCGCTGTGCTGTCGCTAGTCGCTACCGCAAAAGGAAAAGAAAAGCAAAAACCATTCTTGTCCCATGATGACACCAATATTCAAGCACAGATCATATCATTTATATTGGAACAGGTAAGGTAACCATATGTTAATATGTAATCAACATGAATTACTCCATCTACATAAAGAATAGAAGTATATGTATACGCTAAGCAAATGAGTGACTTTTCGAACTTGTCATAGTCAACATCAATAGAGAGCATGAAAAGAACGTTGACTGCGCACCTCCCAGGAATTTGTTGCAACCAGCTATCGACCAGTCCTTTCTTTAACATGTGGGAGAGCTGCTTCAGACAGTTGCAAATGCCCTTCTCGTCCTCAGCGGTCTTCGCTTCGTCGGAGATGTTATGTATCCCGTCGCAGTAGGCTGGAGGGACGGCGTTCTGGTCGCCTTTACCTTCGGCGTAGCTGAAGCACGGCTTGGCTTTGCTCCTCACGTCGTTGCATCCTACGATGGCCACGTCAGATCTGGTAGTGGAGTGGCTGATTAGGAGAAAGAGAGAGGAAACGGCCATGATATGTTGACGATCACGAGAATTTGCAGAGACTCTGATCCATCTCAAGTTTTATGTTTTGCCTTCCAGCCGTAGTAATTGACCTCGCCGCAGCCTACCCTACGCTTTCTTTCCTTACTGCAAGGCTTCCCCTCTCTCTTCCTATACTTTGTATATAAAAAGGAAGGTGCAGCTGGTTTTGGTAATGATTGGTGTGGTTTTTTATGGTCAGATCTCTGATCAATTAGGAACAAGACAAGAACAAAAAAAAATCAACTTTGAAATTACCTCTGTTGGAGCTGGGACTCATCAACGGAAGTAGCAGGGCAGTGGGAGGAGGTGGAGCCGGCCCGAGCAGGAGCAAGAGCCAGGAGGACGAACGCCGGCCAGAGCAGGGGCAAGAGAACGAAGAGTCGAGAGAGGTAGCAGGGCTAGAGAACCTTCTTTGACGGCCAAATCAGGGGAAGGACCACCGCTAGTCTTCTTCGACGGCCAGAGCTTGGTTCGTCGCTTGGTTCACCGGCAGGAGGTCGCCAAATCGCTGGTTCCAAATCGACGAGCGACAGCAAGCGGCAACGGGGAGAGGCAACGGGGCAATGTGTTTTGGAGCGGAGCTTTCAGAGCTCGTCTCTGGTTCCTCACAAAATGGAATTAGGGTTTAATGAGCCGAACGTTTTTTCCTTTTTTATTTTTTAAGTTTCAGTTTATAATAACACTGATAAAGAGAAGAAGTGGAAAAAGGATCAATAAATTAAATGGGTATTAGGGGCAGGTGGGTGGGTGATTTGAATTTTTCAATTACAGGGAAAATGTGGGCGGGCTTGGGGAAATTTTTTGGGCGGGACATGGTTGTAATTTGGACGGGGTATGGTCGAATTTTGTGTAAGGAATGAGATTTGTGTGAGTTCAACAAGCAAATATGACGAAAATGTCTTTTGTCAAAAACGAAATCACTATATTATGACGAACATGCCTTTTGTCAAAACCGAAACCACCATATTATGACGAACATGCCCTTTTGTTAGCTCGCTGTTGGATTATTGCTATCTATTGTGACAAAATACTGTTATTTAAACAATTCAGGAATGCATAATTTGACAAACTTAATTGTGACACAAAATATTTGTCACATTACTCACTTTAAATGACGAAATATTCTGACAACAAGAAATTTGTCACTGTTGAGTCTCTTACATCCCGATATGGGACGCCTATTTTGACAAAATTAATTGTGACACAAAATATTTGTCACATTACTCACTTTAAATGACGACTTATTCTGACAACAGTTATTTTGTCAAATTAGGCATACCAAATAGGACATATATTATTTTTGTCATATCATCGTACCTATTGTGACAAACAGAAAATGACAAAATAAAATTTTTGTCCTAATAGGCCGAATTTGTTGTAGTGAGTGCTGAAGCAGGTAGTGGTTCCTCCTGCCTGGTCGGGGCAGGATCAGCCGATGTGGGCCTGCCACTCCTGGTGAAGATGGCATCCAGCTGCTCGTGCGGCTCCCGTGGATTGGGGATGGTGGTGGCAGGTAGAGTCCCCAGGGCCCGGACAGTAAGTTGGCGCGCTAGGACACCGACTTGGTGCTGTAAATCTTGCAGAATAGCACCCTGGTTCCTCTGTCCTGCCTCCAGAGAGGCTATGCTCTAGTCCACCCTCGTGAAATTCGCCTGGCTGGTGGTCATGAATGCCGCCAAAATATTCTTCAGATCGGTCATCTGGTTATCGGGAGCTGGGGCTGCTGCCGGCTCGGCATACTGACGCTGGGGCTGCTGGAATGGCTGCCCCTGTCTAGGCAGGTAGGGTTGCTGCTGTGGTGGGGGCCCCTGCCTAGCCTGGAAGGGCTGCCTCTGCTGAAAACCACCCGCTGGTGCTGGGAAACCAGGTGGTTTGGTGGTGTTGCTGCTCCAGGCGAAGTTGGGATGCTGGCGCCATCCCTCATTGTAGGTATTGCTATATGGGTCCAGGCGCCGAGCATTGGCGATGAAGTCCACCTGCTCTTGGGGCGTAGAGGACTCCCTCATAGACTGACAGTCCTCCACCAGGTGATTCGGGCTCTCGCACCATTGACAGTGAGCTACTGGAGGCGTAGCTGTGCCTCGGCCCGGAAGGAGACTGTTGGGCTGCTTCAAGGTCTGCACCAACTCGGCCACCTGTTGCTCTAACCCGGACCTGGCCTCCATAGCGTGCACACCCCGGTCCCGGGAATTCCTGCCTCTACTGTGCTGCCCCCAGGAATGATCTCGGGCAGCCAAGGTACTAATCATCTGGTTCAGCTCGGGTGGAGTCTTAGTGAGAATATCCCCTCCTGGGCATAGAGACTCAATCACCCTCTGGCTGTCTGGGGTGAGGGCACTATAGAAGTTCCCCACTGTGAATGCGTCACTGAAGCCATGATGGGGACACTGCCAGAAATATCCCATGTACCGCTCCCATGCATCACGAAGTGACTCGTCTGGCTCTTGGCGGAAGTGAGTGATCTCCCGCTGAATCTCTGTGGTCTTCGATGCCGGATAGTACCTGTGCACGAACTTGTCTGCCAGATCGTCCCATGAAGTGATGGACAATGGGGGCTGGGTCTCCAACCACCTCTTAGCATTCCCCGCCAGAGAATGGGGGAAGAGGTGAAGGCGGATTGCGTCATCCGGGACACCGTTCAGCTTGAACCCATTCGTCAGCTGCAGAAAATGGGAAAGATGCACCCGGGCCTCCTCATCCTTCAAGCCATGGAACTGGATAGAGGATGTAATGAGTTGAATCCAACATGGCTTGATCTCGAAGTTGTTTGCTGGAATGGGCGGTTAGAGGATAACCGGGCGGATGTCAGCAATCCGTGGAGTGTAGTAGTACTCCAAGGTGGGACCCGATGGTGGTGGATGATGATGAACCCCAGCTTCCTGGGGATTGGGGTCGTTCCCCAGGAACTGGTTTCCAGGAGGTGGGTTGTGATCGCCTTCCATCTCGTACTCGTCCTCGGACTCGCTGCTCAATTGGCCGTCTCTACGCTCTTCCGTAGCCAGTCTAGCTCCCTGTTGTCTCCTAAGTTGGCGGCAGGTGCGTTCAAGCTCTGGATCCAACGGCAATAAACCTCCTGACTGGCTACGGGTCATGCACTATCTGCACACACTTAAGCAATGCAAACCCGTGAAGGCACAAGTGGGAAAGACAAACAACCAATGCGAAAATGAAAATGCTAAAGTAACAGAAATCACTTTTCTTCAACAACCTAGCCGTCCCCGGTAACGGCGCCAAAAACTTGACTCACTCCTACTGTCACCCTAGAAAATGGCCAAGTGTAACCACTTCCTAAAGCGTAGTATAGCGGGTTTGGGTTTTATTGTCAACCCGGGTCCTAGATATGATGACTACTCAGTGAATTCGTATTATCTAGCAATGAACTTTAGTGAAAATCTAAACTAACAAACAAACAAAGTAACTAAACAGTTGTTTTCAGGTTAAGAGAGGTCACCCGGATATGGTTCCCCCTAGACTGCAGTTAAGCCGGATTGCAATTGACCAAGTTCAGTTTTCATGAAAGTTATACTGCGGAAGGTTCTTAAATAGTCTGAAGTCTCGACTAAAGGTCTTCAGACCCTCTCAATCTGAGTCTCTAGCGGGCGACTAACCTCCACCGGAGTAAACAGATTGAGGCCTGACTCGCTATGACACAACTCCTAACAGTGGCCAAGTGTAACCAATGAAAGGGACTGCAGTATAGTGGCTCAAGTAATAAATATCGAATCCACGGGTCTCTAGAGTTACTATTACTCAGCTTCAGTTCATTATCTAGCAAACCAGATTAAGATGAAAGAACTAAAACTACTCTAGCAAACTACAGTTAAAGTTAATCTAATTACAGGTTGGGAACTCACTTAGGTATGATTCCCCCTAGCCACTAGCCAGATTAACGATTGATGATCTCTAACTTGTTTCACTTTCATTCACAATGCGGAGAATCCTTGACTAGACCTTGAGTCTCGACTAAAGGAACAAGGCCCTCTTGAGTCAATTGCCTAGAGGGACGTATCCTTCTCTAGAACAATCGATCAAGGCGTTCTGAACTAGACTCCCTCTATCGAATGAGGTTCTCAATCGATACAAAGCAGTGAATCAACCCTCGACTAAAGCAATCGATCAACTACTATCAATCTATGGTGCTCTATTGACCTAATCAGGTATTCGCTCTCATAGGATCAAAGCAGAATCAATAATCTCGACTAAAGCAGAATTGAATCGTGAAAACATGCATAGATTGAATATGAACTCAAGATTATCAAGTCAGAGTACTCATACAATCATCCAATCAAACAAACATAGCTAGGGTTCCTCAAAACCTAAGTGAAGGGAAGTTACTCCATAGAGAAGAGAGAGACTGCAGAAATCTGATCTAGATCTTCAATCTCCATCTCCAAGCTTGATTCCCGAGCTCCAATGGCGAAGAAATCCTCCAAAATAGCTCCAAGAATGTTCCCAAGTCGCTCTCTCTCTCTAGGGTTCGTCCCTTGGGTGTTTGGGATCCAAAATCCAGCTCTCCCCCTCAAATCTGCTGAAAATCGGGTTTTAATCAGGATTTCCCGACTCGCACGGCCAGGCCGCACGGTCGTGCAGATCACTCACTTGGTCGTGCGGCTCAAAACGCAACGTATCAATTAATCGACCTTCAGCCATCTCGCACGGCCAGGGTGCACGGCCATGCGATCTTCAGGGGTTGCCCGTGCGTGGCCTCGGCATAAAGCGCATGGCCAGAGTTGCACTTTGCACGGCCGTGCGACTCCCTGGTCTACCCGTGCAGCTCCCCAAAAACCTCGCTATTCGTCCGATCTTCGTCCAATCGACCCCAGACTCGCTCCCAAGCCTTCATTCACGTACTAGGACCTGAAATATCACAAACAAGCACAACCTAGCGTGAAATCAGCCTAAAACACGAGAATCAACACCTCAAACGGTATAAGAACGAGGGTAAAAACATGTGTAAATAACGGTCTATCAAACTCCCCCACACTTAA